AACGAATTAAACTTTTTTCATGAACAGTTTCGTACAGCTTCAATAGAGTAACTTCAAAGAATGTGGAGTGAATGATGTTAGTAGAAAGTGGAACGATACCTATATGCAGCGGATGTACGCATACGTGTCGTTTTGGTCCCGTCAGGATTCACAATCGTCTCGACCTCAGTGACTGGTGTGTTGATTAGCGAAGACTGCGTTCGCATTTCAGAAAAAAGATCCGGAAACATACTCACCAACTGATTTTTTTGATCGTTCAGCATGTTCATAAACTTCTCTTGTGTTTTTTGAAGAACCGCGCCAATTGCAACATCCTGAAAATATAATACCTTGCAAACACACATGTGCTCTTTCACATCCAGTGAAGAACGAAATGGAAATGAATTCCAAAAACTCGAAAATTACCAAATACGGATGAATGTTTTAAGTGAAATGTAAGTTGTCGGAGCAATATTCTAGGAATTGTTTTCATGATGATCTAAGTGAGATTCATTCATGGTAAGCCAAAAAGTTGGAACGATTAGTCAATCGAAAGGAGCTATTGTTTACCTGAGGATCTGATGAATCAAGGCATAGTTGCGAGGAGTTATCCATTACGATCGGTGCCCGGAAACCATCAATATCGCCCAAAAGTCGTGCATTTTTTTCCTCAACACGAGCTTCACGCCCTAAAATTGGATCAACAGCTGAATTTTGTAATTTCCTGTGTGGAGAGATGGATATGACGACAGAATTCATACGTAGACTTCGAAACCAAAAGATTTTTTTCGATGGCCAAAACCAAATTAGTTGCATTTGAATATTCTGTCAAAGCAAAATTATCAAATTCAAACGACAGTCAACGTAGCGAAAAGCAAAGTAGAACAAATGTTAGATTCCCTATAACCAAATGCTAGGGGAGACAATGGTTGTGCAAGAGCGAAACACATTCGAATGAAAAATCGCTGGCCATATATTGATGGCACAGCAAAGAATACTGAGAAAGCAACGATATCAACTGAAGAGTAACATAGCCAAAAATGAATGCCACAGGACGAATAATCAAGAATTTGATACTTTTGAACTGATAAAATGGTAGTGCACATCGCATAACATTTCTTAAAAACTGTGAAGGCATCTGAAAACCACTACATTGTGAAACTGACGATTGTGATAATGAATTTCAGACTGAATGTAATATGCCTCAAGAAGAAACGCATACGACATAGCTACATGAATTATTGTTGATTGTTTCGCTTCTTCAGAGCATTCTTTCCATGCGTTTGTTCATAAATGACATTAAATAAGTCAACAGTACACTGTCGGAAATATGCTGAATAAAATATTTCATCAAAACGAAACGAACGAAGATAAGCAATTTGTAATGCCAAATTGTACATAACAAAAACAACACAAAGCGTCAAATTTGAGCGTGACCAGACAATCTGCCTAAAGACGTTTTGTCTAAGGACAGCTTACAGAATAAATCGTAATAATCATCACATACTTGGGCACTGAAAGACTTTTTCCACAATGAAATATTCTGAGGATTTATTTATTAAAAACATAAACTTTTCTCTCTGCTAGAGAAGACGAAACACCCTTTGCACACCAGTCTTATCATCAACATCACCGCAAATATGATACTTCTTGGTTTCGATTTGATGGTATGTAAACGAAGAAATATTTTTATGTAACCATTTCTGTTAACAAATCAGGATCCTTAAAACAGAAAGGAGAAAGAATGGTGGGCAGTACTACTTTGCTACTGCTCACCACTGATGGAACTTCGCTATTTCGTTACTAACACAGGCACTTTTTCCGATAACTCGCTGCTTTTTTTTTCACACAGTATAAATTTATAGCGATAACTTCTACTAAAATAATTTTTTGACTGCATGAAGTAGCGATAATTTGCACTACTCTCTTTCATTAACGTTTTAAAGAGCTACATGTCTTCCAAACTTCAACTAACTCGCTACTTTTCATCTACAAGTGGTTGCTTATTTCTACCACCTTAATTAATTAAAAATACATAGTTACGCTCTGGCACTGACAACTGCCAAATTCGAACTCATCCTAACGAGTTGAACTTGAATATACAATCATACCTCAAATACTTGTATTATGTGCACCAATAGTTGACCACTAATTTCAGGTAAGGTAACTTTAAATAAGTCACGTAACAGTGAAACGAAGTTTTGTTCATTTCTGTTTCCGGTAGGAAAGAATATGATGAGAATCAAATAATCCAGACTCTCAGACGGAATGCTCAATGTGTTGATGTTCTCGTTAGAGAATGAGAGGGTGTAGTGTGCTGTCAACTAATCGTTTTTCATGCTTGATGTTTGTTGCTATCATTTCATCATTTCCTTCCTGTTGAACTTTGCTTTTATTACTAACTAGTTTTTCTTACTGAATGATGAAATAAAAATTTACGACTGCTTAATTTGGTTATTGGGTTTCTTTCCGGACTAATCAGCAGCGCGATTGCAGATTTTGACGGAAAGTTTCAAAGTAGCGATTAGCGGATTTTGGTAAGCAGCGTTTTAGTGAAAACTACCGCTATTTTTTCCGGATTAGCGACGCTTTTAACGAGAAGCTTTCGCCACTTCTTCGTTAATGGCGCCACTAGCCGATTATTTTTAGCACAATAAAAACATTTTTTAGCGAATCAGCGATTAGCAGAACAACTTTCTTTCAGTAGCTTGAGTATTATATTATCCAAGCGATACTGAATGATTTGATCATTTCTTTTAGTTTATGTCACAATTCGATTAATTTTCAAAAATATTTTTTTGACTGTGAACTGATTCAAAAACATCCACTCGAAAAGTTCGATTACCATTCGTTATTTCAGTTCTTCTCGAACTCTGATTGCATTCGATCTTCAGCTTTGTTCGACAAGTCTTCGTCAGCTCTTCGTATCCGTCAGCAGACAAAATGCGATACTCGCATACTCGCACTTTACAGCCATCTGATTCGTCGATTTCATCATACTGCAATTTTGTTCGCATGAATAGATGTGCAAACATTGTTGGCTTAAATGACTTTTGAAAGGTCACAACGCTACGCTTAATCACAATCACAACTTTGTGACCTATTCGGTTATGCCACACAATACAATTAATTGTAACTTGATCGTATGGCAGCAGGCAGTCTCAACATATTGCACTTCTTTCACAGTCTGACTGAATCAGGTGATTGCGTTGTTCTATGCGAATTATGTCATTCTCTCGCAGTGCTTTGCGTGCATTTGCAAATGAATGTGCACCTATTTCTTGTAAACATCTTATATACATGCTAGACACCGGTGACGATAACCGACCGAAGTTCGATGGGTAAAATCTGATGAAATTCAATCGGATTCCGACCGAGAAGTTTTGAAGTTTGTTCGGAAGACTGAATTTCGAATTCTCAAAAAATGGTCATGATCAGATTTCGACCGAAAATTTCGAAATTCAGTCGTAGTTTTCACCCACATCCGGCCAAAAATTGGAAGTGATGCATTAGACGTTGCAAATATTTAAAAATTAAATGTCAATTTGAACTGGACAATAACAAACACAAATTCTGCATGATAATCCAAGGCACTTAATGAGCAGACACTGTTGATGGAGCGTGATCGAAGGATGCGAATTTAGTAGTTGAGGGAAATAAAACTCCATTTGCATTAGAGGGAATAATATGAAATAGAAATTGAACACACATCGATAAAAAATGCAGCACAACGTGTACGTTGATTAGAAGAAGAGGAAAATGCTGCTAATAGAAGGATACTTTTATTACATAACTGAGATCATCTCAGCAATAATCAATCTTCATTTTAGCACATTCATCTATTTTATTATGACATATCAGCTAAACAATAATTCACTTCACTTTATTTGTTGTTGTTAGAAACCAAATGGGAAATCTGCTTGAAGCATACTTCCTACTTAAACAATATGAATCACATTTCTGTTCATCTCTAAACTCTGGCAAATGTACTGCAAAGTGACAAGAAGGAAATACGGAGAAACTATGGAAAGCATGAGAGTGAAATTTAGTCTGATCCGCTTGAATCAGCTTTAGCACTGAAGGCGTTGATAATCTTCAGCGTCCAATGTTTGCTATAAGTTGCCGAAATAATTTTTAGCACTGATTAGTAAACACTCTATCATTGATTCGTTAGTGTCAGTCCGTAACGACATTGTTTCCCTTTCATTATTTTTTCTTATGTCACATGTTTTGGGCGTTGCTACTATAATATTAACGAGAAGTTTATCGTTATTTAATAATGAATATTGTTGGCACGTGAATATTACGTGATAATGCAGTTATCAGATAATTTTAACTTCTTAATATTACATTTATAGTTAAACAGCGAATTCTTTCTTCTTGTTTCGATAGCACATTATTCTACATTCCTGTGTGCAATCATTGAATCCGAATTAGAATAACTGAATAAGCAAAATTCAGAAATTCAGCGAGCACGTTTAATAACGAAAACATCATTTATGATAAAACTGCAAATGGAAACGATACTTTTTTAAGAATCTGCAGACAAAAGAAACAAACGATTATAATCACAGTTGTGACTACGATAACTGCTATTCTAATTATTCACCAACTCACTAGTATCCTAACATCAACTACTATTAATGCGTCTTACTTATTCAGATTATTCCACATTCATTCCATTCAAGTATGAGTAATTTCTATCAGAAGTCTTCGCTGAAGAGCTGATTCTTTTCAAAATTTCTCTTTCAAGTTTAGCCGTCCAATGCAAGCACTGGACAGTGTCACAAAAGTGGTACATACGACCTAATAGCAGAGAGGATACCTAATAGCAGTGGTACGCATATTAAGTATTCTTTTATGAAAAAGAATTTTAGCTGCAGTATCGAGAATAAGTAGCAAACACAATTCGATATTGTGATGTGCCATAACAAATTTCTAGTTTCAGCTCATCAATGATAATATAAAATGGGATGGGAATGCGAAAAATCGAAGCAACTGAGCGAAAACAGAGTGATTTCGATTTAAAAAGTTCAGTATTATGTGAAAACAATTTCATTTTTTGAAGAAAAAGTTGAAGAACGCATACGTTCTCAAGTTCGACAACGAACGAAAAATGAAATCGTTAATACAATCATTGGAGAAAACATAATAAATGAAAAGACATGATGAACTGAACAATAGCACATAAATTACAACTCACTCTAATGTTTCTACTACTATCGCTTCAGCTGAAGTTTAATAAACGAGTACTTCTTTAAAAATAACACCGAAACAAATGACAATCAAACCAATGACTTGATTACATCAGCACATAGTGACAGAATCATTCCAGATGATATGTATTATTTATCGCGCAGTTCATGAGCTAATAATCTGAATGATCCATGACAGTAATCATCTCTGTTCACAAAAATAAATACTCTGGCATTGGTAAGCAAATGCAAAGAGAAATGTACGCAACCTGTTTGACATCAAGAAGAGTGCCTCCATGAAGATCGACAAGAGGAGGTGTATTCGGAAACTTGTCCAGCAGACTGCATTTTTCGGGGACAATGGCCATTTCGGAAGTCGTCAGCCGTTAGCCGCGACAATTGTGTATGTTCAAAACTCGCAAGTGACGGCTTGTAGTACTGAAATTATTATCATCAGAAAAAATATACGTGTTTCGATAAGCTGACTTTGTATTCTACTCGCTATCGAATGAAGAGAGACGAAAGAAATGAACAAAGAACGTCCTAATGAGAATAGATCGAGGTTGTCAATCACGTATAAAACAAATGAGTAATCAAAGTTCATCAATGGAAAGCTTAGCAAAATTCGACTACAGTCAAGTAAAGTTTCAATTAGTTCCACACGAAAACTTATGTTGCATAGCATTATCAAAAAATATGCTTGAAATAAGAAAACTGTGAAAAAATTTTAATCAATTCGAAGGCGATAGTTGATTACATGGGTAGCTGATTACTCTGGTGAGCAAGAGCACATCAATAAATGAACTGCTGCGGCACTGAATGGAAAATTATCATTTGTTTTATTAGTTCATCAATTCAGACGTATGAACATCGATAAATGAATCAATCGGCAAGTCATCATCTATAATAAATCAATATAATCAGCCCAACAGAGCAATAGATGAATGCACATAAACAAAATAAACTGCAATCTCTACGAATGATGAACATTTGAAAATAGAATACGTGATAATCTTCTTTCTTGACTTTGAAACGATCGATACAATGAATTCATCTGTCGACTAAATCAATTGAGAAGTGATACAACTTGAAAGTCCACTGTACTTCATGTTCCGTAATACCCGTAGATAATCCTCAATACAATTTGTCACTAGTATTAAGAGAATTAAAAAAAACGAAAGGATCGGTAAGAATAAGAATAAATTTGCATAACTTTAGTTTCAAGAGCGTGCTACCAACCAGCTGATATGAGTATACCCAAATAATGATTTACAAATGAATCACTTAACTGCCATTTTGGATGACAATTACAGTTTGTAAGATATCACAGAATATGGAGTTAGAAATAATTTTAGTACGATGCAACAGTTTTGTGATACACATGAACATAGATCAGCAAAATTTAACTGGATAACAATGCACACAATGGAAACAAGGAGATATAGCTCGAGATAGACCCAAAATAATTTTTTAAGTTCCAAGTGCTTATTACTGAACTTGTATTTGAATAACTTTACCGCTCAGTTTTTTGACCAGTTCATTTTACTAATGTAAATAAACTTTTTAATGTACATAATATTCAACCGAATAAAAACTTGATACATGTTCAATTAGAATTCAATTCTCCAGCACAACCGCAGTTATTTAAGACACAAGTATTCGAAATTTCGGGTGCGACTGACGTAACCGAAATTTGAACATTCCCTCTAAACATCAAGCAACTGATAAGTATACTGAAAATCAAGCATAATATCGTTTCGTTTCATCAACACTAACAGGGAAAGATGTAACGCTCAAATTTTGGTGCAGATAATAGGAATTTGAGTGACGCCCTATTTCGGAATTTCAATTGGATCCCCAACTCGAAATTTGAAAACCTTCGAAATTATTTTGCATCGGGACAATATTTGTTCAAAATCTGTCTGTTCAGTATTTTCCGAATTTTTGCATCAAACATACTAACGTTGTTCTCCTAAAAACGGTTAAAGCATAGCCTCACACTCAGTCTGAAGTTTATCCGGGGATCAGACTAAGGTTTAACAAGGGACTTACGTTAAGGCTCTCAGGTTGAAGATGAAATTTATGGCTTCATTCTGAGACTCATTCTGGATTTATGCTGACAATCAGACTTACCACAACGATGGACTGAGTCTAACAACAGAACCTAGGCTGACACTCCCCCATCGGCATACATTGCGGCTGATCATAGAGTCTGGGTTGAGCTTTACCTCTGCAGAATGTTCAAACTATGGCTTGCCATTAGTACCAATCTGAGGCTTACTTCGGGTTCGGACTGAGTGTTGCCGAGGCACTTAGACTGAGGTTCATCTCCAAATATAGGCTGACGCTTATCGCTGGTCCAGTTGATGCTTGTACCTGGGTGTAGGTGAGGTTTTCGATACGATTTTGACTGAGGCTTGAGCAAACGACTGCGGTTGCGGCTTAACCGATGCTGATGCTCATACTTGTTTACGTTGAAGCATATTCCGAAGTGTTCCAAGTTCTACCCAAATATTCCTCTCGTTTTGGATTGAAATCTTGAATCTCGAGACAGATTCCGTAATTTTTCGGTCTAATTTCGAAATTCTGAGCTTTTTGAGCAAATTTCGCGAGATTTACGTTCGATTTATTTCAGATGTTCAAAGGGCGAAGAATACGTTTTTGATTTGGTAGTTCGCGCTCGAAGTTCGATAGTTTTGACAAGGCTTATCTTTGCTTGCTCACTGATCAGAATGAACCGAGTGAAAAAGTTGCTGAAGACTCAGCATGGTTAAGTAAAAATCAGAGCACAAGGCTTAATGATCAAGCACGAACATCTATCACGTAAGTGTACCTTACGA